CTCTTGAGTTTTCCGGATTTCTTCTCTTAAAGATTCATTATTTCTTATTTCTTCATTCTTACTATCTATTTTGATGATTACTTCATTTGTGGTGGTGGCAATATCCTGATTGACCAAAGTTTCATTTCCTTTATCACATTTATCTGACAGCACTATGTCAGGATTGTCTGGTATTATAATACTTCTAGTATTTCCTACTCGTGCTCTTGTCTTTCTTATTATATTTTTCTTAACTTTTGCTGAGTTGCTAATTTTTTATTCTTTTTTTTCCGGGTATACAACAAATTATTAGATTCGCACGTTTCTCATGAACGTTCCTTTGTCAGTTTTTACAATTCGATGTCAACGGATGATAGCAATTCCTATTGCTAATCAAGAATCATCAACTTTTGCCGAGAATTTTGTGTGAAATGTTATTTTGAAATTTACTTTTCCAAAATATGTCTTGACGGATCAAGGACAAAACTTTCTCGGTCAAATATTCAAAGATGTATGCAAAGTCTTGAAAATCCATAAAATTCAAGCTAAAAGTTACAGACCTCAATCAAATGGTTCTTTGGGAAGATCTCATAGGAATCTAACCGGATATTTGCGATGTTTCATGAACAAATCACAAGACGATTGGGATACCTGGATTGACTATACTATATTTTGTTATAATACCACCATTCCTACTGCTAGAAACTTCGCACCTCATGAACTCATCTTTGTTTTCAAAATCAACCTACCTAGTGCTGTGAGGAAATCACCAGAAATATGTTGAAATTATGACACATATTCAAATGAACTAAAAGCAAGATTGCAACATCCACACGCTATTGCGAGAGAAAATATTATCAATTCTAAGGAAAGATGCAAAGCTCATTATGACAAATCAAGTAAACGAACTCACTGGGAAGTAGGAGGCAAAGTACTTCAGAAGGATGAATCATTCTATGAGGGCTGTGGAACACATTGCCAAGGGAGGTATTGCCCGAGGCATATAACCTCCAGAAATTCAGGAAGAACACCAATTCCTACCTAATTTCCCTTGGTTCTCACGATGTTCTCTAAACATTGCAGGATATCCCTTTCCGTGGAAACCAGAACATAAAAAAAATTTGAAAAGCTTATGTCAATTCGAACGTTAATGTTACTATTCTCAAACAGAATAAACGTGTTGAAGTACACATAAATAGGATTGAAATATACGTGGAGTAGTTCATGAGTTGTAAGTATCCATTTTTAAAAATATATTGAAGAAAAATCAGCAGAAATGGGGAGAAGATTTGGGAACTGTCAATCTTTATAATGATTCTTGAAATTTTCCTACATTTCTTGATTCTAATAATATTCACTCAGAATACAGAAATATAAGGTATAATCATCCTGAAATGAAATCCATATGTTCAAAACTAAGTGCGAAATCTATTGAAATACGAGAATGTTAACAATTCCTGGAATTCGTGAACTCAACTTCCATTGACCTTACTCAACAAACGAATATGATACTGGACTATGCTGAAAAAACTACAATTAGCGGTAAAAAAACGAGCTCTTATTAATGTTGTAGGAGAAGTACCTAAAAAACTTTTTGGCACATCAACAGAGTCGGACGCACAATATTATGATGAGCAAGAAAAACTTTTGACATCAGATGAGAACCAATCACTTCATCCAATCAAAAACTTTCTGAAATGTCAAGTTTTATGGAAAAAGAAGAGGAATTCAAAATAAATTCAGTTCAAATCACTATCTTATTTCAGTTTCCGAAATTCTCTCAACATTTATTTTAATTGCTGAAAAATATACATTGGAAATCAATAATTTCCTAGATATTATCTTATATACCGAACGAGGTCAATTACATCCTCTAATTATTTCACCTCTTAAACTGTCTGCTGAACTAGAAAGAATTCAATCACACAAAATTGATGAAACATTTCCTGTACCGTAAAATATAAAAAATATCGATGTATTTTACAAATTTATCGATCTTACTATTTATTTTTATAAAGACAAATTGAATTTCATTCTGAGAATTCCCCTCATAACCACTCAAACCTCTGTATTGCATGAAATATCTGTTGTACCTACCCATGAAAGTATTGAAAAACTCTTACACTTTTCTCTTGCCAGAGAAACCATTTATCAGTATAGATCAGCTTTGATGAAAATACTATCGAAAAGTGTTTCAATTTTCAATCACGGTTTATTTGTAGACAAAAATGTATGCCTAAACCCATTCCTGACTCATGTGATCAACGAGTTATTAATATTAACAATTCAAGTTTTATTCAACTTGCTACGAGCAACACTTGATTGTTCATTCGTCTGAAACCAGATATATTACATAATAATTTCAAGGGATCAAAAATATCAGTAAATATTAAATTGATTGGAATCCTGAAACTTGAACCTGGTTCAATAGCTTACACTGAATCGATTATCCTGCACTCAGAACAAATATTCTCAAGCACCATAAGTGCTTCAGAAATTATAATTCTCACTTCTATGAATACTTCGATTTTTACTAAATTGAGTAAAATTAATTCCACTGGAATATAGCATATTTCGAAATCTCTCATACATACAGATCAGATTCTGAACCTTGATAAATATAGTCGAAAAGTAACAAAATTTAGGGAGGAAATATATCTTGAACTTGTTTATCAGACGATATTTTTTTTATTCCATTTCAGTTCATTATATCACCTTGTATATTGTATTATGTACAGTGTTTGCATTCCTTATATTGTATTATTTCTATGATGACAAGTTTTCAAAATTGATTTCCAGCAAGATTAATGCTATAAAATTGTTGTTCTAAAATTGTTCAATCCGTCATTCGGTTGCCAGAAAATCAAGCCGAATCTATTGAATTGAAAAAAGTTTCTGACAATGAGAAGAAAAAACATGTCAAGTTAAATAAAATTGCAACTTTCTTTGAAGTTACAATTTTCTTCCTTGAGGAAGGAGGTGTTGTGAACTGCTATGCTGTTTCACCCATTATTATCATAATCACCTTGTATATGGATATTATAATATTATAACTCAGTTGTTTTATTTAACGTTGTCTAGACTATTGCGACATTTGCTTATTTTACACTTTCATCGTAACAACGACCTGTTGCAGGAAACCATGTTGCTATTTGTTTCTACACTCATTTTATATATTTATCTTTTTGTCTATTGATGGCGTGATGAACGTGATTTGAATGTTCTTTGGATAAACTTGACGAAGCCACGCGCAGGCAGTTGCAGATAGATATTCATTCCAAATTTTACCTTTTGTCAACTTGACCAATGTATCAATGATTGAATCTAGTTGATAAGTATAAAGTGTTTTGCTCCTCAACTTACGACCACCCTTCCCCAGCCTGCCGCTCGCAATATATTCTTCCTTTCACTCTTCAGTTCAATACATTTTTATTAGTTGTCTGAGCTTTGTCCTTTTCTTTATTGCTTTAGTCGATGATCATTTGTCAATCACTGGTTGGTTTTCATTTTTTATTGTTTCCTTTTCTCATCAATTTATTTTTTGTATTCCGCGATGAATTATTGTCAAGTTCTATCAGTTTTCTTCTTGCAGTTCTCATCAATAATATGGAATGGTGACAGTTTTTTCTCAAATTCGATTCGATCAAATCAAGATCAATTTCCACTGTCATCTCAGCAGGTTTGAAAAATCATAAGCTTCTACCTTGATTATTTTTTATATTATAAATTTTTTTAATAGGTGAGTATTCTCCAACTTCCCGGAGCTATTGAGCCAGCAATTATTGCTGTTATCAGCTTGAAGCAGCAGATTGAAGAAATCACAAGCCCTTCCGAATGGCGAATCAAAATATTCCTTCTGGCACACAATCCCACAGACACCATCCCTAACTCAAGTTTTTCAAGTTCAACCCCAGTAGCACGGATATCAGCTAGACAATATTGTCAATATTATTCAAATAATGGGCCATGTCCAGCGAATATTCTGTGTAACTGGGGCACACCCATCTGTTTTTCCATTTAATTGAGAACACTTCACATTTCTCATTCAACCATAATCATTTTATGTTATGGTGAAGGCGATGAGTCGTGATGATTGAATTCATTACATGGTATTTGATTCGACTGAACCTCGATTCGATAATGGTGACACTGTCAACCAATCAAACATGTGGTCAAGTTTATCTAATGAAAGCCTTTTCTACAATTCATCGAATTCTGCTTTATCATTTCGTCGAATATAGATAATATCTGGTTGCATGAAAATTGTGAAGTGATGCGAGTTGATCAAAAAAATCTCAATTGGTTCGAAAAACTGAAGTTAGGGTTCGTGTCTCTGCTATCCGATGCAGTATTTCATTTGTATAGATCAAATTTCAGTCATTTTTTGAAGTGAATAAATTGAATTAATTTTTGTTAAACCCTGTATGAAATAGAATGAGATCTCACTACAGTACAATGAGCCTTCTGGTATTCCAGCGTACATCCTAGCTGCTTATTATCAACTTTTTTGGGGGTTCATGTTTCCTGAGAAAATTGATACGAAATAGTTAGGTATTTAATCAAAAACTCTCACATATAGGTATAGGGATATATCAAGATAAGTTGTCAGGAAATTGTTGTGGATTCTGAAAATAATATTATATACAGAGTATTGGATTCGAAATACTGAAGTTGTTACTACTTTTCGGCAGAAGCGTGGCAACACCGAGTTATTGACATTATTTCAGAAAAATAAAGCGAGTTGGTTTTTGCGATCACCCACAACTTTCGGAACGATCCCTAAGCTGACTTGCATAAACATGTAATGAACCGTATCAATTAATCACCATGTGTATGAACATATTTTCCAGACTAAAATGTGTCCTCTTTCGATAAATACATGTGCTTTATTGAACAGATTCCGTTGAAGACAAGTTGGTGTGGATATAATGGAAATAATCACCAGGAAGAAAATTCATCCATTCTGAAAATTGTCAGATTCATTACTTCAACCCAATGCATCTTGCTGTGATGATACAAATATGTATGTGGATGACTCCCGTGGAAAAAAGGTGACAAAAAAGCCAATTTTTTTTCCCTATTGTCAAACAAAACAAAAAAAAATAGCCCGTCACCTCGAAAATAAACAAAAAGATGAAGACGAGGTGAAGAAATTCATATTCTTACCCAAAGGTAATGCCCGCCTAAAAATCTAGGAAGATCTGCTATCGACTTCAAAGCTCGTGATATTTGCCAAGCATTTTTCTTCAAGAATACACTAAGAATTCATTTCAGAAATTGTAATCAGCACGTCCAAGAGAACAACCCAGTTATTGACTAGAAGAGTAACTTCCAGAATTCACACTAAAGCATCAGTTGTTGTGAGGAAAGATCTCAAGCCTGTTCTGAGAGAGGATGATGTAACTAGGCTGATAAGATTCGATGAACTCGTGATCATATACGCTAATGAAATGACGGAGAAATATCGCAATCCTCGTCACTTCGATATGATCAGACAAAGGATGAGGTTGATCAGACGATTTTTATTGATAATGAAGAAAATCGACAAAGAAATAACTGATCTCTCTTCGATATTCGATCCCAAATTCTCAGACAACACACTGATAGCAATCAACGAAGCCGCTCGATTCAATGCTATTACGTGCAACTATAAGGCACCAACAGTAGTCTCGGAAGTTTGTTGAAACAAATTGGTAACTTTTTAATCATGAAATGTGTGAAGAATCATCAGGATTACAAGAGGAAGAATACAAATGATTTCCTGAAACTTCTCACACAAAAAAATTTATATAAGTATCAACAGGAACGTGACAGAGTCCCAGGTTCAAATGAAGAAAAAGTTACTCTGCCATCCATGGACGATATGGAATTATTGCATTCCCACATTACTTTGATTCGAAAGCAATCTCTATTTGACATTCAGAAAACCTTCTCTACTGAAGCATTTTATGAGTTGGCAGAGACTACGCTGATGTCAATCCAACTTTATAATAGGAGAAGGGCCAAGGAAGAAGAGAGAATCCTGATAGAAGATTTCAATTTCTATCAAGGTATAGACGACAACACTGACAAAGATCTTTTCAGGGCTCTACACGATGAGAGTAGGCAGATTGCGAGACAATATGTCAGGTTCACGATTAGAGGTGAACTTAATGGAACGGTTTCAGTATTACTTGATACTAATCTCTTGGACTGCGTTAAAAATATCGTGAAATGTAGAGAGAAAGCAAGTGTTCCTGTTGATAACCATTATTTCGGCATTGAAGGAAGATTGGAGAGGCAAATACGATATCTCAGAGCGTGCAATCTTATGAGAAAGTTTTCGACTCATTGTGGAACTGAATACCCGCGGAACCAATTTGAGAAAACATATAGCAACCACGTGCATTACCCTCAATTCACGAGAGCAAGAAGTTTCAGACCTTGCCAGTTTCATGGGACATGCAGAAAAAACTCATAAAGAAATATACAGACAACCTGTCATTAGTAGAGATATTCTGAGGATGTCTAGATTGCTAGAAATTGCGCAAGGAGCTGATAGTGAAACAGATAGTGACAGCGACAGTCAGGTAGATGAAATGAATAACCCGAAAGAACAACTGAAAACTCATACTTGTGAACGTATTCAAGAGAATGAGAGAAATCGAAAAAGTGAGTACCTATATCCTACCTTTGTACAGATCAATTGGAAAAAATAAGTTAACAACAGCATATGTGTATTGAAATTGATACAAACATATATTGGTTAGGAGAGGAAATCGATAGCTAGATATTCGACAGTTGGAAACGAATATAATTTGTTTCGATTTTTTGGTGGAAAAATAAAGGTAATGAATTATTTATATGTTTCCGATGAAATTCTTGTAGTGCGATTCGTTTGTTTACTTCATCACGAAAGAATCAAGGTGAATTGACGGGTAGCAAAACAGCTTGATCAGCGTGGATATACTTATATTGATATGAATTGATATTATAATATTGCATGCCAGTAACTAGAACACGATCATGCCAATTCTATTCGAACCATGTAAGAAGCAGTACATTGAATATACGTGTATGCATTCCGGAATAGACCTTTTAATCCTGTACACCATATGCCCATCACATGGCAATCCTGCCTGCTTCTCAAAGTGGAGAGTGAAACAGTTGCTGATCAGAAATATGGAAACGACTAACTCAAAACACCAGGAAGTTACCGATTCTGGCGTCGTGAACTCGAACTTGATTGTGTAGGAGACCAGCATCCGAGTAGGATCAGAGGTTAAAATTCTACTATATATCATCGTGGCAATAATGTTATTGCAGTTGAGAATGAAAATATATATGGCGTATAGAAGAGACATGAAGAGGAAGATCAGGAGAAGTATGGCAGCCATAGAGGTATAGAATTATATACATTAAACATATATCTCAAATATCAGTGTCATCTGCCTGAGATTAAACAGTGACTAAAAAGTTGTCAGTTAAGTGAAGTTTCGTGTTTCATCAAGAGTGTGTTTCGCTCGAAATGAAAATCACTCATCCAAGTCATCGCGACGTCGCAGCCTACCTAGGAGCCTTTGGTATACGGTGCTGACAAGGCATTTCTTGCGAAACCGAATGTTCGCATAACTATCAACATGGACTTCGTATTCGTAAGTTGATAAACTTTTTTGGTGTCAGAGTAATAACTTTCGTATCGATTTCGTATCAGCAGTTTTCATTCGCTTGTTATTAATGAATGTTCAATTTGAATAATTGGATGATGACAAAATATCATAAATATGTGACACATTTAATGTTAGCGATATCATCGATGATTTTCGATGTATTATCCCGCAAGGAACAATTTATAATTATTTTGAGGGTAGAAAAAGATTTGCTATTGCTGAATAATGATATGTTTCAATATTGCCATATTATGTAGGTGTCAATGTAGTGGTTATCGTTCAGAAAATATTGCCCCTGATTCACAATTATATCCTCTTTGATGAGAACCATTTGGGAAGAGATGTTTCCTAAACTATCTGCAATTGAACAAGATGTTTTGAATGAATCGAAACGTGTTTTAGAAAAACAAGTACTCAAGAGTGAAACAGTTAGGGAAGAAGTAAGGAATAACTAGTTCAATTTATTCAACAAATTTACGCTATCTTTAGCTCTTTCATGGAACTCTTTGACCGAGCAACAAAAACTCGCCGCTAAAAAACTTTTTCCAACGATTTGAGACAAGGTGATACGAGCTATCCAAGTTCTTGGTGTTATGTATCGAGTACCAACATCTTGTATCGAATCTATAAACGTAAATATTCTTTAGGACGATACTGAAGAAGAAAAAGATAAAGGCACAATGCCAACGTCAACAATATAATTTTTCAATGTCGCGAGCAGAATTTTGCCAAATAAATTCGATGATTCGCACGAAAAGTTGCAATAATTTTTAGACTCATTGTCACTCCTTCAGTCAATTTCGGCAAATCATGCTGAAAATGCCGTGGCTTTCGTCTCGCCTGTCTAGCGGGGCTAGGGATCTCATTACCCAGGATGATGACTCTTTAGAAAGCAGCGTCGATAAGATAAAGAGAGGTATTAGGGGTGGAAATTCGAAATTAGAAGCAGCGAAATTGTTGGCCTTGAAACAAAATTCGAAAAATTTTGTGAAGTATGCCTCAGAAATCGAATCTTTCTCAGCTAGTTTGAAACAAGCATACATTAGTGAAGGTGTGCCAGCATCAGTAGCGGATCCGTACACTACTGATACGATAGTGAATTCAATCATGAAGAACACTTCTCCTGGTAGAATTAAAATAATAATGGAAGCTGAAAGTTTCGCTTCATATCAAGAAGCTATCACCAAATTCATGAAAACCATTTCTGATACTACAGTACAGTCTAATCAGGTACTTCATATGAGGCAAAATTTAAGACAAAATCATAAAAGATTCAATAATAATAATGCTGGGCATCATTTATCAAGAAGAGGTTGAGATCGATATCAAATAACAATAACAGTACTGGACAATATGGCAGGGGACCCAGGAATTTCATTTCGAATAATTAAAACCGTAGTAGTTATAAGGGTAGTAGGAATTACCATGCAGTGAGATCGTATGACACAGAGCCGGACCAGGGAAACGATTCCGGCCCCCAACAAACTCGGATGGGCGAAATTTAAATGTATTCAATGTCGATTTATCACTTTCAAATCTTGTAATGTTCAGGGCTGAAATGACAGGAAATGAGCAAGTTTTACTTATTTCAGATACAGGAGGTGACATATCACTGTTCAAGCGTACCCAAATAAATTTTGATCAGATGGTAGGAAGGTCGACTGCTAGCAAAACCAAAGGTGTGACTGATAGACTTATCACTTCATTGGGTACCACAAAAACTATAATTTTTATCGACGGTTGTCAAATAGAACATAATTTTCAATTAGTTGAAGATGATTTTCCAATTGCCGCAGATGGAATACTAGGAAGAGATTTCATAGCAGAATATACATGTAACTTGGGTTATGCAACATGGACAATGACTTTCATTTTACATCGAAGATGTAAATGTCCGAATGTATGATAGTCCTGAAGATGACATTTCAATCATTCTGCCAAAATGTGAAGTCATAAGACATGTAAGGAAATTACAATCACTGAAACAATATGCTTTGGTATTAGATCAAGAATTAGCTAATGGTGTTTATGTAGCCAGGACAATAGTGTGTAGTCAATATCCTCTCATTAGAATACTGAACACAACAACTGATTTAGATCAATTTTTCATTCACCGAATAGGAACCAAAACTGACACCAGACAATTAGCTCTGATTGAAGAGCTGAATAAGGATATCCCTGAATTTATTAAAGATGATATGGTCAAATTATGCGAAGAATTTGCTGATATTTTTGCCTCAAAATCGGATAAGATAACAGTAAACAATTTTTACAAACAAGAATTGAGAACTACGGACAACACACCTGTTTACATGGTGAATTATCGAACTCCCAAATTCCAAAAAGACGAAATTAATCGACAAATTGATGATATGATCGAAAACGATATTTTAGAGCCCTCAGCATCGGAATACAATGGCCCTGTGCTGTTGGTGTCGAAAACAACGTCCGATGGAGAGAAGAAATGGCGTCTAGTAGTAGATTTTCGTCAACTCAATAAAAAACTAGTAACGGATAAATTTCCATTTCCAAGGGTAAATGGTTTTCTGTCATTGACCTGATTTCTGAAATTCAATTAAAAGAGGAATCAAGAGATTCAACATCATTAACAGTTGACAAAGGTCCATTCAGGTTTACAAGATTGCCTTTTGGCTCAGCTGTAAGTCCTAATAGTTTTCAGCGGATGATGTCCATAGAATTTTCAGGGGTTACTCCTGAAAAAGCATTTCTCTATATGGATGATCTAATAGTGATTGGGTGCTCAAAAAATCATCTTTAAATAAAACTTAGGGATATTCACCATACATGCAAGATTTGTTGCTTTTTGTAATTATTATCGAAGATTCATTCCATTCTTTGCAGATATAACTTTGCCACTAAATAAATTAACAAGAAGAACGTCTAATTTCAACTGGACTGATGATTGTCAAAAATTCTTCGAAACTTTAAAAAACACCCTAATACGTCCACAAATTTTTCGATATCCCGACTCCTCGAAAACTAACCTCCTAACAACGGATGCAGCAAAAGATGCATGCGGGGCAGCTTCATCACAAAATTTTGAGGGACAAGATATGCCAATAAATTTTGCATCTAGGTCATTTACTTGAGGTGAATCACATAAGTCAACCATCGAAAAAGAATTAGCAGCAATTCATTGGGCCATTTATACCATATCTGTATGGACAAAAGTCTATTGTGAAATCGGATCACAGACCTTCGATTCATCTATTTTCTATAAAAGACTCATTCTTGAAATTGACTCGAATGCGTTTAGAATCAGAAGAATTCGAAATTACATACATAAAGGGTAAAAATAATGTTGGCGCAGATGCCCGGGCAAGAATGAATATAGATCAACTGGAGAAAATTAACGAAACGGCTAATAAAGTTCTTGCGGTTACAAGAGCCATGACCAGGAACAAAAATAGTGAAATTGACACCATTCAAAGAGTAGAAACCTCCCTGCGAAATTTTGATCAGTCAGCACAACCCAAAATATACGAATCATCTGATGATCCACACAACTTGAGATTGCCAAATTCAAAATTTTATATCAGACCATCATATCTAAGGATATCGATTGATGATAAAAAACAGTGCGCAAGAATCGATTAAGATCGTTGATGACAATTATTCTTTAGAGAAAATATTGTCTACGCTAGAAAATATGGCGGACGATTATGGATACAATAAAATTGAATTGAGAATTGATGATGAAGTTTTCAATAGGTGCACCGTACATGAATTTGAAGAAATATGCCAAAAAATTTTGAGAAACTTGATAGTAGTACTACATATACCACCGATACTAGTCAAAGATGAAGAAAAGCGTGACGAATTATTGAAAATATTGTCAGGCCTACTTTTGGAGGAGCTCAATAATACAGGGTGGTGTCTAGATGAGAGCCAGAATCCTTGATTCAGTTTTAATTGACTTGTCTGTCAGATGGTGAATTAACAAGTGAAGTACATTTCTAACATTATGTCTTACATAAGTTT